GTGATTTCAACAAATGACTCCCGAGCACGGATTCTGGTTCCTGGTCCTGCACTTGCAAAGTCCAATGATGTTCAAGACCATGCAGAGGTGAGATACGGTCTTTGACATGCCACAGTCACAGCGGTTATCAGGGCTGTACCTGCATGCTGGCGGGGGCATGCTTCAGAAATCTACCAAGATAATGCACTTTGCAAGCACGTTCCCTCTCCGCCCACACGCGCTCAGCTGTGACCCTCCCCAGAAATTCCCTGTGGGGCACTGACCAGCATCTCCTGCAACATCATATTTCTTGGTGGTTGTGCCTGTCAACCCTGGGCTTCAAAATTTCTTCTGGTCAGATTTACCGGCTCTTTCCAAGAAGACGTGGCAAAGATGCGTGTGCCTTCCTGTGTGTGCCTGCACTGAGTCAGGCATCTGCCCACCTTGAGGGTAACCTCAGCATTTCCTTCCAGCCCTGCTTTCACTCAGCCTTGGGCGGCAAAATTTTGAAAGTGTTTTCTGGAGAAAAGCTGAGCAATAATCTCGCCATGGGCGGAACATCGATTGTCCTTCCTCACGGCGGGCCCTTTATATATCACCTGGAGGCCATGGCGAACACATCTGGCTCAAGCAGCTGTTGCTGAAGCAGGCTCCGCTCCCTCTCACCATGGCCTCCTGCACAGGTACCATGAGATGGACTGAAAGACTCCGGAGGGGCTTACCCCGTGGTGGCTGGAGTGTGGCTCGGGGGAGAGAAGCTGGGTGGGCAGGGGGCGCCTGGCTGGGGGCTTCACGGCAGCATTCTCTCCTCAGGACCCACCAGGGGTGCCCTGCTTCTGCTCTGCTGTATGGGAACCTGGCTGTCCGTCCACACGGCTCCCATCCCTGGTGGAAGTGACCTGAAGAAAATCATCATAGAACTAAAGGCTTCATCTGAGAGACTTTTGGAAAACTGCGTAAGTGCCCTCCAGATTTCTTTTCTAAGCCATTTCTTTAAAACACCTTTCCTTGCGCCCAGAAGAAGGGGCTCTTTGCAGACCTGAAGCCAGGGCTGTGGCTATGTGGGAAAGGATGGGTACAATGAGACAGGTTACGGTGGGATTTTTATGCGGGTGAGGGTCAGAGGCAGAGATGAGCTAGGACAGCCCCCAACCCAACAATTTTTGGAGAGAATCATCGATCAGCTCCCTCCTGCACACCCCACACTACAGGATCTGCTTAGTAGGCTTGGTCACTCCTACCATGTTTGGTTCACAATATTGTAAAATGAAGTTTCCTGTCTGCAGCATATCCTTTGATGTGGCCCATCTTGTCTACCGGTTCAGGAGCTGGTGACCACCAAGCTAAGCTGTGACAATGTCCCTGTGAATGGAGGGCAGTGAACGCGCCTGTGGGTCCCCGGGAGCTCTCTTCCCACAGAGCAGGGCAGTTAACACGTTAGGTGTCCGCCTGTCTGCCCTTCATTGTCTGATCAGGACCCAGTCTGCCTCTAGCCGAGGCTCTGCTGAGCCAACCCCTTCGGTTGCGATCAAGACAGAACCTCTTGGGCAGCTTTGATTAAACAAACAAGCAAAAACCCAAACGTGGAAACAGTTGGTGACACTGGCCTTGCCCCTTCCTTCCACCCTGGCACTCAAACCGCAGGCTTGGCCCGTCTAGACCCAGGGGCAGAGGCTATCGGCGAGGCGAGGGGCAGTTCAGGCTGATGGGTGCTCTTAGCTCAAGTGCAACCCAGATGCTTAGTCCTTAGGCCGAGGAGCGGGGGAGAGTGTGGTCTGCGAGCCTGGGTGTGTTTGGAAAATCTCTCCCTGGCGTCTTGGAGGCCTTTCTGCCACGTGTAGCCTCCTCTAGGAGCAGGGGCTGTATCGGCTGTAACACGAGCTGCCAAGAGCAAGCAGCCACGTGGACACCCAGAAGTCTCATTTCCCATCCCTCTGAGCCCCAGAGCAGCTGAGAGGAGATTCCAGAAGGCTGTGGGGCCTCAGCCAGATGGGGAGAGGGGCCAGATGGAGCCGGGCTGCCTGGCGCGGGTGGGAATCTGGGTCTGCCACTTGATCTTGGGCCAGCTCCACCCACCAGCCGAGCTTTAGTTTCTTCTGGGACAGTGATGGCCACAGCCTCCCGGGGTTGTGGCACCGATGAGAGATGTTGGGGGTGATGGTGGGGGGTCCTCGCCCATACCAGCCACAGAGGAAGCATCTAGAAATTACCTCTTGGGATTTCTAGCAAACCTAATGCTCATCTTTGCTCCCCCTTGTTAGAACGAGACGGGCCTGCCGAAGTCCACGCCTCGCCTGCTGCGGCCTTTCGCCTCCGACTGCCGACCACCACACTACATCAACAGCTCAGCCGTCCTGCCTTATTTCAGGGCCATCGAACGTCATCCATGTCTATGCGATAACAAAATGGACATCAATGACATCATACAACAGCTCGAAAAACCCCTATTTCCACCTGGACCAGAAACTAAAGTTTCGATGCCCAACAACAGCTATGAATGTAAAAGGCTCACCTTGGCTATTTTGCAGGAGTTTTCTACATGCGTGAAATCATTGTAGTCACTGAGACAGGTCCTCGACGGCCATCCAGTGGAGCCTACTCCTCTTGAAATGGTGAAAATGTGAGAAGCCTTCAAAAAAGATGAGTGACTGCTAAGTGTGCGAACTCTACCATGAGTTATAAGTAAATTATTCCAATGAATGACCTCAGTGAACCCCCAGCTGACCAGTCCTGGGGGAACTGAGATATAAACGTGTGAATGAACTTGAAGCAGATTTCGAACTGTCTGGGTATTTATAGAATGTTTTTTTCTGCAGACTTAAGTTTTATTTATTACTCTCCTATATGTACCCTTGCGAGGGCAGGAGCTGGCACCTGTGTTAACTTATTGATATTTATTGTATTGAGAGTTGTTAATGCTCCTTGGAGGAGCCCTTGGCACCTATTTAATAAATTATTTTGAATTTTTTCTCATAACTCTGTTTTGCATGTTGTAAAGGGGGAGTCCAGGCCGGGTGGTGTGTGGCTGAGGGAGCATGGGACATGCTGTAGAAATAGATACTACTTCTACCATTTTGGCCCAATGAACAGGCTCAGTAGCAAATTACAATAAGTTTAGCAACGACCATTTATTGGGCATTTTCTTTATGCCAGGTCATGTAAGTATCATTATTATTCTCTTTTTATAGGTGGAGAAACCAAAGTCAAAAGTCATTTAGTTACTTTCTCGAGGCCACAAGGCTGCTAAGTGGGGGGGCCCCGGATTCAAGCTCTCTTCGGCAC